AGAAATACCTGATAGTCTTGTCACAAAACACTGTAAAAGAGCATTTGACCGGAAAGCTCATCTCCTTCCTTACTAATTCGAACCAATACTCAGATTGAGTATCGGTTAGAATGTTACGCCTTGTTAAGAGGCGTTACCAAGCTCGCATTTTACGTGCGAAAAGGCCATATGCTTATGCGTTCAGCAGTTTAACGTTAAGAGAAAACTTTCTTCTTTTAGAATATTTAATTTTTATTTTGATATCGTTGATGTGACGTTTATTCAGAAAATATAATGTTGTAAATAAAAGTATTTAACCGCAATTGCGATCTAATAGTTTTTTTTGTTAAAGAAACTGTTTAAAAATTTTTTTTCTGTTAAATTTAATTAAAAAAAATAAAGTGTTTTAACTTTAAAAATTTCATGATATTTAATGTTAAGTTTTATATTAAGTTAATAAACTTTTATTCGCAAATTATTTTCATTTTATATGTAACAATTTTTGTTTATTTATTTATAGTTTTAAAACAATTAATTTTTTTATCCCGTTAAGAAAGTACTTATAATTAACTGTTTATTTAAGTATTTCCTCATCATCAAATTTCGAGACCCAGGGACAATTTTCCTAAAAAGAGAGGAAGTTAACATTCGACACTTAAATATTTTTTATAAGACATTAGTCACTTTTGAAGGATTCATCCTCCTCATTTTATTCACAAAATCGCCACTGGCTAGACCTGCAGATAAAGATATGTTTGAACGCTTAGTTGTTTTATTATTTTTTAATATTTATCAAATTTAGAGATAAATGATATTTTAGTGTTGAAGTTGCTTTTATGCATAAGTTTTTTCGTTATCTTTAATTTTTTAGATTGATCATAGAAAGAAAGTCGATTAGAATAGATTAACTAGGTTATGAGCAGTAGACAAATATTTTACCAAAGTCAAGTTCTTTAAAAAAAAATTGTCGATATATTTTTTGCTTTGTTTAAGCACTGTTTAAAACTGTAAACTATAGTAGGAAACTATACTTATAAATAAATGAAGCTTGTAAATACTATTAGAAAAAAATATATATCTTTTTATTTCTTTTAATTTCAACCCAAAATGGCATGACTCTGTCTAAGAAAATAAAAAGTCTACTCTGCTAATAAAATAAAAAATTTTATTTTAATAACGCCTAATGAAAAATTGTAATGAAAGCAATATGGTTTAGATACGAAAAGCAATCAAATTTCACTAGCAAATTAATTATACGCAATAAAAAAACAAATTTGTCTGTGAGTTTGCGCTATAAAATCAAGCTAACGATCTAGACAGTTGGCAAAAAACGTACCATCAAGGTCAGAAAGAAGCCAAAAAAAGCTTATAAAAATACCTCAACAAATAAATAAAAATTATTTTGCACAGCAATTTCTTTTACAGAAAAACTACTAACGTCATCGATTCATAACTAGCCATTGTAACAGCTTTCCTAACTATGTTTTCGTGGGTTGTTTTACAAAAAATTAATTTTGCGAAGCATATATAACACAAAGAAAATACATTACATGTTCACAATAACTTGCAATAACAACATTCTTTCTTTAAAATAATATTTGCTATTAACTCGCGTGTATCAATCTTGACCAGTAATGGCCACTAACTATGCATCAGATACGATCTACAGACACTTTCATCGCACAAATAAAATTTTGAATGGATGCAAAGTAGTATGCTTCAAATGTCTTGTACCCGAAAAAAGTAAAAGTAACGAGTTATGTGGTAAAGAAATTACATGTGCCGCAAAAGCTCGCATTAGCAACCTTATACGACACTTATCTAGAAAACATGCGGAGCTCCTCATTACGTTAGAAAAAAAAAAATTAGAAAAAAAAATAGAAGAAAAGAATAAGAAGCAAAAATATACAGCCATCAAAGGCAGCACTTCACAGCAATCCATATTAAAGTGTTTTGTACCACAGCAAATTAGTTTGCATATTACAAAAGATGAGTTTTTAGAAGCCTTAAACCAGCTGGTTTTGGTTGAAGGTCTTTCATTCCAGGTTCAATTTATTTTTTCGTTAGTAATTATTTTTTAATTAAAAAAAAAAAATCTAGACAGTTATATGTTTTTTTGGCATTTTTAAATTAACATTTATCATTCTAAAAACAATATCTATAGGCGTTTGATCGGGAACCTATTCAAAAGCTTTGCGGAAAAGTTTCATCTCATTTTGGATTTAAAATGAATAGAGATAATATGAGAATTCAAATTATCGATCTTGCCAAAAAGCATCGCGAACAAATCAAAAACAAATTATCGAAAATGCTAATTTATTTGAAAGTCGATTCTACATCAAGGCATATGCGTCACTACCTCGGTATAAATGCCCAATACTCGAACAATGATGAAATTGCTGTGATCAATCTTGGCACGATTGATACAAAGGGAAAACAAACGGCGGAATACACAAAAAAAATTATTGAGAAGTGTTTAGATAAGTTTGGAATCAATAAAATTAATATTTTAGGCCTCAGTGTTGACAACGCAGCAGTGAGTAACATATTTTGAAATTCACTATATTTTTTGTTAATAAAAAAAATTTTAAATTATGTGATTAAAGTTATTATTTTCCATAAAATCATTTAAAAATTAAACTATTTTGATAAAATCTTTTGTATACTGTAAGGTTCACTAAACTTTAACTATTGAAATCATATTTAATATCCTTAGGTGAATATAAAGTTGGTGCGCGACTTTGGCATCAGCGCCGTTGAAGATATTGGAGATGACGAAGACGATTTTTCAGTAGAAACTGATGAATTTGACGAAGATGGTTATTCTAAAGCAGACAATGCGGAAGCAGTCTTGGCAAGTGGAGTTGCCAGTAGCATGAGTGTTATACATCTTCAAAGATGTGCTGTCCACACTTTACAGCTAGCCGTAAATGATGCATTGAAAAGGCCCACAATAAAAAATCTAATTAACCATGCCAGAGATGTTGTCAAAGCTGCAAGAAATTCGAAGTGGATTGACTTCTTCAGAGACCAGACTCCACATCTCATTCCAATTTTAGATCAGGCTACCCGTTGGTCTAGCCAGTTCAATATGATTGAGAGGCTAATTAAGGTAAGTTATAACTTATAACTTCTAAGCTTTAATCAAAGTGTATAAGCCAGTTTTCTCACCGGTATAATATAAATCCAATTATTTCAATGGTAATGACATTTATACTACTTAATAATTTTTAAATGTTAGTTTATGTAAATATTTCTTTAATAATCCTCTTTATTTAAGTAGTTAATAACTTTGTACATATATTTAATGAATTCTTCTGTTCTTCTAGATTCGACCAGTAATTCAAAATCTAAATATGCAAAAAGAAGCTCCTAAAGAATTTAATGTGCGACCATGTTTTTGGGGTATGTGGGAGGAATTGAGAGATGTATTGCATATGGCACGCGATCTTACTATTCGTCTTCAACGTGAAAATATCACCGCAGGCGAATTTCTTTTTGATTGGAATTCAATTAAGTGTGAACTTGACGGGAAGGACAGTGACTTAGCCAAAGATTTCCAAAAAGGAATGGATAATAGAGAAAGCGCGCTACGCGAAAATCCGTTGTTTCTTGCAGCAGTTTACGTTGATATTAGGCATGGCTGTATGCTAACAGCGACTGAAGACAAGGTTGTTTTTTTAATAAAATTTTATTTATATATATTTATTTATTTAACTTTAAAAAATACATATTCCAAAAAGTATAAATACTTCTATAGATAACTGCAGCTGATGGACTTTGGAAAATACATTACAAACTTATTCAACTCGCTAATGAAAATAAGAATAATGAACTCAATAAAACCAAAAAAGCAGTAGAGCGCAACTCTTTTGCAGTTTATGTGTCAGACTCTAGTTCAGAAAATGAGGAGAATGCTTCACCAGTTGCAAAGCGTCGACCAAATTTATTTAAGTTGTGTGAACAGGAGGTTCAAGAAAATTCTTCAGAAGAACAAATGCAGGTTCAACTAGATGTAATCGAAAAGGAGTTTCGACTAGCTCTAAAAACAATTCCGGAAATCCGTTCAATGTTTAAAGAAAAATCATCCAATTTAGACGAGTTTTTAAAACTTAACCCATTAAAATCAATTGAGCAGTTCCCTGAAGTTGTACGGGACGCCTGCCGTGTTGCTTTGTCGCTACCCATATCCCAAGTCAGTGTCGAGCGTCTGTTTTCAGTCTTAAAGCACATGACACCAGACCATCGTAGTCGATTTACGTCTGATTTAATTGATGATATGCTTTTTTTACGAACAAACGAGTTTTTTATTTAAACGTTTTTTGATGATGTAAATATTATAATATTTTGTCCTTATAACTTTTTAATTTAGCGTGTAATTAATGCAAATAAGCATTTAAATCTTTTTATAATTTTATGATCATGTCGTTTCAAATAATCTGAGAAATTGAGTGCGACAATACAAATCAAATAAAAATCTTTGGAGTTGTATTGTTCTTATAAATTCTTACGATCCAGCAAAAGCGGGACAAATTAACTTTTGGGTTTAAGCAGCCGTGGCTCAGTGGTAGCGCACTTTCCTAAAAAAAATAAGGGATCCGTGGTTCAAACCACCTTTGGTTTTGCGACATCGGTTAGGAAGTAGGAGTGAATTTCCTTTTAATTGCTTTTCTAAGGTGCGCTGTTATAAGACCGTAAGGACTTCTTAGGGTACATAAAATAAATATATATATAATTCATAAGAGAAAATATTATTGGTACCCTTTCATTTTTCCGGAACTTTCGCGTAAAAGTTCCAAATAATAAAAACCCCATATTTAAATGAAGAAAAAAAAAATTATTACGGAGTCCGGAGTCTGGAGTCGGAGTCCGTGGAGTCCATGATTTTTGAGCTCGGAGTCCGGAGTCCCGGAGTCCCAAAAAATCGATGGGACTTCGCATCCCTGATATATATATATATATATATATATATATATATATATATATATATATGTATATAAAAGCTTTTAATATACTTTTAGGATGACATAGCTCAAGCTAGAGCATTTGCATCTGATCTACAAAATGCAAACCTGCGGTTTAAAGCAGTAAGATATTTTTGTTTTGCAAATAAAATATTTAATTGAGGATTTTATTAATTTATGTTATATACACAGTATTCTTAATGTTAGCAGTAATTCTAAAATTGAATTATTTATTCTAATAAAAGAATACAGCAGTATACAGAAAAAACCCATAAAAATCATGTTTAGTTTATTTATAAACAAATAAAATTTTATCTTATTAGGAGCAAGAAAAAGTTTTGAATACAATTGAAATATATGATTCACAGATTGAAAGCTTAAAATCACAAAACCGGTTCGTATTACTATATAATGTCTTTAACATATCCTTTATAAGTGCAAACTGTATAAGAGATATTCTACAAATATTTAAATTTCTTTAATTAACAATTTAGTTAAACATTTAACATTTGTTCAGATCATAAAAAATGTAAAATAAATTTTAATTAGTTTAATAATGATGATTTAATTTTCCTGACAGTATTTAACAAAACTTGATTTTTTGTACAAAGGTACAATGGCATTTTGAAGATAAAGTGGGTACTTTAGTAAAACTCTATCTAAAGTTAATTTTTAATGTGATTCTCTTTTTCTTTTTTATACTGTAATATTTTTAACAATTGACATTTTAAAATTTGATATACTGAGTTAGAAACAATTTTCACGTTATTATCTTTGCACCACTGTATAACTTTTTTAGAATAGTGAGAAGCAGCAAGATTGGGCCAAATAAGACATTAGTATTTGGTTTTTTTCATAAATAGTAAAAGTCTTTTTTGAAGCCATCCTTTGATGTAGATATCATTAAGGTCTTCTTAGTGACGAACAAGAGGGCTGCATACCACACAAATTACTTGCCGCACAAGGAACTTTAATGCAAAGTTTTCTTGTTGAACATATTTAAATTAATCATTGACAGGTTTGTTCTCATAGTAAAATTGTTGACCAGGAAGTTGTAGAAAATTGCCTTGCAATGTATTTTGTCGGCTTCAATTATGCATATACTTTTATCCGCCATTATTTTAACCAATTCTTTGCATGTCAAATTCCTTTAATTTCACCATTTAACCTTCTCTTATGTGTATTTTTCTTATGAAATGATTTAATTCCACCGTTTTTAAGTACTTTTTTAATATAAGAACACAAAGTCTAGAATTTACAAGCTAGATCTCACTGTGACTATTTCAGATTTCTGGATATTGAACTGAGAATCAATTTTACCTTTTTAAATTTATGTAAAGTTTTCTTTCTTCTACTTCCAGGTTTTCTTTCAAAGCTTTGAGTAGTCTTAAACTTATTTATAATATTTATGACATAAACATTTTTACGTTTAGCAAGCGATACGAAGATGGGTTTTTGCAATAAATTTCATAACTTTTTTACGCACCTGAATTTGTTTCCAAAATATTTTGCAAATCATTAATTTATAAACAAAAGTTTGTCAACACAATTAATACTAAGGCAAGATAAGTTTTCCATATTTAATCAGGAGGGATACCAAATAGTTGAAGGGGTCAAAATGTTTTCAGAGTTTTTAAAAATTGGAACCTCAGATGCCTATTTCCAGCAGGCAGAAAATCAATATTCAGTCAAGTACTTATTATTTAGAGAGAATTTAAGAGAATTTTGAAGAGCACTTTTTTAAGGCTATGAAATAAATTAAGATATGATTTTGGCTATTAAAACTAGAGTGATTTGAATGTCTAACAATGGGTTAACTTGTTTAAATGGAATGAAAGGAAGAGTATGGCCATAAGAGTTAAATTTGAAAAAAAATTCTTTGAAAATAGTTCAGCCTTGTTCATGGGAGAGGTAATAAGATTAATCCCATGAAATAGAGATCGAATGTTAGACTTACCTTTGTAATCGATGCTGTTGAAGATTTTTCAAATGTTTCTAGAGCCTAACTTCTAAGATATGAGAATTATTAAAGTTGAAATAATAGAGTTTAGCATCAGAAAGTACCTTTTTACATTGATTTCTTGCAATAATAAATAGATGTATGTTCTCAAGAGTGTTGTTTTTTCAAAAATGAAAAAAATTGTTACAATTAGGCTTAACTTATAATCAACGAGTAGGAATAAAAGCTTCCATACCTGACTGGATTCAGGTGGTTACATAGGAGGCACTTTTATCAACTCAAGGACTGTCATGAAAAAAATCAAAAAAAGAATCCCAGTCAGCTTTAGGGTAGTAGTTAGTAATGCTATGATTGGGTGAGTCCAAAGAAGTAGTATGAGATAAAAAATTTATAGAGACCATGGCATGGTTGGAACCTCCTAATGATGAACAAGAAGAAGCTGAACACACAACCTAGGATTAGAAACAAGACACAAATCAAGGAGTAAAGTTAAGTGACTAAAGTTGCCTGGAAAATGAGTCACAAAATTGACAATCTGTGTAAGTGATTGAGAAATGAAAACGTTATGGGCTTTAGTGCCAGTAGGGTTGTAGGTGTTAAAGCCATGCCATTCGCTGTGATATGTAAAAGACAAAACAATAAATATACATACTACTATAGGCATGACAGATATTAGATAACAGGAAGTACACTTGCCTTAGAACAGGGACACACGCCTTACAAATGTCTTAGACAGGAAGTATACTAGCCTTTGCTTAGAAATCAAATCCTACAAGGTAGCAGGACATGGAACAGGTTGAACTGGATAACATGTTACCAGTAGCAGGGTGATCATGATGATCATACACCTGACCTGACAAGAAAAGATAATAATACAGTAAGAGCAATACTCACAAATAAACTATTATGTCAATTCTGGTCAAATGATTAGACTGGGGTGATTCATGGCAAATCACCCTAGTCATACTTAAAATAGACAAGGGAGAGTTTCCATCAATTGTGCTTTAAACTGCACTAAAACAATGCATAAATGTCATTTATATGAACTATCGGATAAACCTAAAATTACAGGCATAATGAAGAACAGTACAAAACTTCAGAAGGAGTGAGGTACAAATAACAAAGTAGAGAATTGTGACAAAATCACAATTCTCTACTTGATTTCTATAAATTCTTTGATAACAAGTTGAAAAAGAAAAATGTTGAAAGACATGTGTTTGTACTAACAGATGGTCACTTTAGTTTGACACGAGCATCCTTCATTATTGCGTGAAAAATAAATTTGTCTTTTTATTGGTCCACCAGACACAACAGGTGTAATACAAATGTTGGATCAAGTGAATCTTAGTAAACACCATCATTATCGCCAATGTAAATCAAAACTGTTCTTTAATAAGATGACAATTAATCACTCTGGTTTCATGGAAATATTAGGTCATCATGGACAAAAAACTTTAGGCTATGCAGAAAAAGTGATTGTATTGCAGATTCAGGTCTAAGTTTTTACTGAAAACAAAATGATAAGTTTTCACAATTAGAGAGATATATAGCAATTACTCAGTCTTCTCAAGCCCCCAAACAATACAAAAAATCTTTACAAAAGGTTCTGGTTGTTTTATCCCCTTATGGTGTTAGAACAAGTTTTTGTGATTATTACAAATAAAAACTTGAAAGTGCATGTTGGAATATCCACAATTATACTAAATCTCTTTTACAAATTTGCAAGTAACTCCAAAAGACACTACTAAAAAAACTATATGAGTAACCTAACAACATGGATCAATGAAGAGGAAAAAAAAGCGATAACTGAAGTGAAAAATAAAAAAAAGCAAAAAAACTAATAAAACCAGGTGAAAAAAATTGTGAAATAATAAAAGAACAATTTATTATAATTTAAAATGCAAAGATCATTGTTAATATAAAAAAAGATGTTGTATTTGGCACCATTTTCAATGTTTTTAAGTCAGTTTATACCAAGCAGTTCTGCAAAATTGATTTTATTAAACCAAAAATGATAGAAGCCTCTGAAGTGATATCAACTGTTGGCATTTTTATCTTTCTTTTTCTAATTAAAATTGTGTTTTATTTGTAATTTTAAAATTTATTTGGTATTTGTTCAGTAATTGGTAAAATTAAGTTTGATAATGAAGATAGTATTTTAGAAGTTTTAGAAACCAATGTGCATCTTAAAAAGTAAGTATCATCTTACAACAAGTGTTTTAGTGACATAGAGTGACACTAGACTTTTAAACTATATTGATTTTCGCTTTGGTTACTTCTTTGTATAATAGAAACTGTATTGCAATTGATTTGAAATTACAAGAGACCAAAATTCAATTACTAATATTTTAAGGTACATGCACCTGTTTAGTACCTGGTCGAGCACCTGTTTAGCATTTATTTGAATTTTGTCTATACATTTTCAATTTGCCCAATAAGTTTTTTATTATGCAATGTTTTTTTGCAATTTTTTTTTTAATTCAAATAATTAAATCATAGTTATATTTGTTTTAGAAAATTGTTATGTGAAAACAAAACATTAAAGGCTTTAAATAGTGAACTCCAAATCCATGCAGAGCAACAAAAAGAGCATCTTAAACATAGTGTTAGTTTTTTTATCTTTTTATTTTAGGCTTATAAAAACTTTTGTTTTAATATGTGACACTTCATGACAAAATGAGGCTTAATACTTTTCATATATTTTTAGTATATTTTATATATATTTTTAAAGTGCATTTAACCAGGAAGTTCATGCGTCCTTCCTTACCGTGAAGCGAAAATATGTCCAGAGTTCGTTTTGAACCTGAATCTCCTGCTTATAATGCAAGCGCTCTAACCACTGCGCCATGGCCGCATATCACCATTATCGTAATTAATGTTATTGTTTTTATTATTACTATTACTGTTTAACAAAAACATTAGATAGAAGAATAAAGTTATGTGTTTATGGTTGATAAGTTGTTAAAATGCATCAAAGCATTTTTAAGTATAGCGACTAAGTTAAAAACACCTATATCAATTGAAATAAAATAAAAACTACTAATCAAAATTTTACAGTTTTTTTTTTTTTTTTGCCAAAGATTTGGCTTTCAGAATATTGTAAAACTTAAAAAATATTTCTATTATATTGGTTACGTGATCAAAATATGTAATGTGGAAATAAACGAAAATATATAGTTTCTTTATGTAAACTCATATAAATAAATGAAAAATACAAACATTTGGTTTTCGATTTTAGATAAAGGAGGCATTTATAGTGTTGATCAAACGAAAAAATTATCCATGACATTCAACAAAAAAAAAATATCAAGGATCTTATTTATATCAGTATAATTTAATCTATTTTAAGCCATTTTTCAAAATTGATTTTTGAACATAAATGCATAAATATATATTAAAAATGCATAAATATATATCTATAAATGCAATTAACAAACGGTTCGAAGCATACACTTAAGAAGTTATTCCCATTTCAGTGATATATTTAAAGTTTTCCCCAAAAGCTGTGAATGTTTTGGAATATTCAAAATTGTTGAACCGCTATGTGGGTCACTCATCATTTATAAGCAAATTTTATGAACTGCTGTGCTTCACTTGTCACAAAATATTTAAAGAGTAGTTAGGACATTTTAGAATGGGGTTATTAGCGATGTACAACAAATCTTGGTTCTTAAGCCATTATTAATCATAATTTGAATGACTTTATTTTGAGTTTTAAGTGCAATTTATATGTTGATGATGCAAAAATAATGCCTTTTGGTTGCTAAGATGCAACAATAAAAACTGGTTACTAAGATACAACAATGAAAAATGTTAAGAAATCACTCAAAAACAAAATAAAATTTTTTTTTATTTATTATCTTTTTTATTTAACTTTTTTTTATTTAGTTTTTTATTTTTAAACATTTTACTAGTAATTATTTTATAGTAGTTACTCAAAAATGTCAAATTATTTAATTAGGAGTTACTAAACCACAATTTTAAAAACTGTTTGTTACGCTTCATTTTGTTGTAGTCATATTGGAGTGCCACATTGTAGAGCATCACATATTGAATATTTACTATAAATTTTTTTTTTAATTTTGTTAAATTAGGTAAAATCGCAGCAATATAATTTATCAGAAAGATCTGCTGAAGGAACAATTCGTAAATTGCAGAATGAAATATTAGGACTGGAAAGTCGGTTTGTTTACTTTATTTTTAATTTCTGGTTAATTCTTAAAATAATAAATACTTATCCCTGACACTTCATTTCTGCATTCTTCTAACAAAAGAATTGCAGAGATGCAAAAATCATGCTTAACTATTAAAGATAAATGGTTATATAAATTTTTTGGTGCTACTATGTATATATCTATCTACTATCTATATATTTTATATTTTTGATACTACTATGTATCTCTCTATCTTGCTCACCATTTCCTTACTCCCGATTCGATTTTCTACTTTCCTTATTTATCCCTGTATGGAATACTGTTTTCATAATTGGTCTGGTTTTTCTAATGGTTTTCTTTCTCTTCTAGACAAGGTCCGAAAACTCATTGTAAATGTTGTTGAACCTGCTTGATCAGCTTGAACCCATTTGTCATAAGATTACACCTCTTTTGCTTTTTAAAAATACTATCATGGTTTCTGCTCAAACAAGTTGTTCTCTTTTTTTTTATCATGTTGATTCAATTATCCAAAACTTTTTTTTTTCTCTTTTTCTCTCATTTTTTTCTGACTCTTTTCAAGTCTTCTGTCAACCGCTTCCTCGTTTTTTAACACTGTTCTTTAATTTCTGGTAACTTAACAGTAGTTGCTTGCAGCCTTGATGGGAGTGAATTAGTATAAAAAAATATATATGCTTGTAGATTAACCTAGGTGTGATTGCCACAGGAAGGTCATACTTTGATAAGGTGGGTCACACCTAAGTAAGTGGTCACATCTAGGTAAGTCTCTATGAAGAAATGATGTACTGTTGATTGGTTTCCATCTGGAAGTTAATGTACTCCTCAGCTTCTCCCCTCAGCTTTAAGGTATTTATCTTAAGGTATATATCTTAAGATATAAGGTATTTATCTTAAGGTATATATTTCCCCTCAGCTATAAGGTATTTAAAGTATTTAAGGAATATTTTTTTAAACAATTTTGAAAAATATGGTCTAGAAAGATAATCAAGTATAAATCTAAAATGGGCTCCCTGCCTACTTTTTTGACCAATAAATGTTATAAATTATCTCATTATTGTTTTTGGTGATAAATCATTACAAAAATACATATTACCATAAAAAAGATGTATGTTTTTAGGCCCTTTTTTTTTTTTTTTTTTGAGCATTTCAACCTCATTTTATTTAAAAATAGTTGCAATGTTTACATTTTAAATAAATTTTATGCTTTAAAATTTGAAGATGCAACTTTGAAAGATTTGACTAGAAATTTTTATTAAACTTTTTTCAGTATATTTTTAATGAACTTTTTTTTTTCTTTTATAAGCACAAAAAACTCCAACTAATTTTTTTTTTTTAATGTGAGGTTTTAGATATGGAATATCAAAATTTACTTAACCCTTATATAAAAATTTCAAATAAAGAGAACGAAGAGAAAACTAAAGAGAACTTTAACACTATTATTCTATAATAGTTCTATAATTAAATCGCAAAATCATAATGATTACAGATCTAACAGCATGAATCTAGCAACATTCCTAATCAAATTAAAGTATGATCAATTTCTAAGTAAGGGTCCTTGTTGATTATCTGGAGATAAATGAGTAAGAATCCTGATCCAATGATAAATGTTATCCAATGATCAGTTATCCAATGATAAATGTATAATTACTTTATATTCATTCTTTTATATTCATTATAGGTTCATTCAAAAAGTAAATTGTTTTAGAGTTTTATTTTTTTATCAAACATATTTTATTTCAACAAATTTTAAAATTCGATTTGAAAAAATTAGTATAATCTAACTAAAAACAAAAAAGTAAGTTTTTTTAAAATTGAAATATAGTATGGTTACCTTTATTTAAAGAAATTGTTATGTTATATTTTAGTGTGGTTTTGTACTCAAAAGAGTTAGACAAACTGCGTTATGAAAACAGTGATTTGGAAGAGAAACTAGCAACTCTACAAAAAAAAATGTTTATTTTTATTGAATTTTTCTTATGTTACACTATTACTTTGAGTATCACATAAAATGTAGTACCATGTACTAAGTGTTGCGACATATGTTTTGCGACACATTTAATGTTTTGTATACTTTTATATAATTATATAATTTACTGTTTTTTTTTCTAAATTATTCATTTGGATTTTCTTTCGTTTATAACTCAAGTAAAGTAAATAAAAATCTTTGCTTATGTTATAGTAATATGCATGAAGAAAATGAGCAGGAGGCTGTGATGAGAGTTCGTGATAGTGTTCAGTTAGTTGAAAATGCTCTTATAGAAAAAGAAAAGGTAATGTTGTGAACTAAGTAAATGTTTTTCTAATAAAAATTTTTGGAGCAAATTGAATTTTGATTAAAAGTTTAAAAATTAAAAATTTCATTGTTGAAATTCTTGATTACCACTTGTGTTTAAATTGAATATTACCACTTCATTGTTGAAATTCAAGATTATCACTTCATTGATGAAATTATGTTGATTAAAACTTATTCCATTTTGGTATTGGTTCACTTTTTTATTTTTCTCAAAATTCAACCTTGATTACTTCAATTATATCTTGAACAAAATCCATTCAATTAGTTTATTTTGATTTTCTTGCAAATAAATTGATTGAAACACACAAAAAAAATCAGTTAATATATAATCAGATATTAAATTATAAAATTTTACAGTATTTTTTTTGTTTTGTTTTCAATTCAACCATCTTTTCATTTTAAATATAAATTAAAAATATTTAAATGTATATACGTTTTTTAGATTTTTTTAAATCTGTTTAAAGATTGTATTAATGAGAATGTCTAACATATATGCATCATATCTTACATTAAGATTAGTTTAGATCCAGTTGTATCAATTTTTATTGAGGTTGTTTGCAATAAGTCGCTAGATGCTTGTTAGTTAGTAGCAGGGTTGAGGTTAAATACGGTTGATCAAATACAAATACGTTAATTCTAGATTTCCCAATACAAATTTAAATTTAAATATATGCAATTAGCATTTTCCAAATACAAATACTAATATTTGTAAATTTTAAGACACGATTGATAAAATGGTCTACTTTATACATAGATGATTTTTTTCCAGGAATTCCTGGAATTCTGGAAATTCACTTAAAACTCCTTTAATTTTCCAGAAATTTCTGAATGTTTTTTGTTATTAGTCTGAAAAAAATTTATATATTTCTACATAAAATTTTAAGTATGATAACTTTTGTATTTAAACAAATATGTTTTCTATAAATAAAATTTTCACGAGATCAATTTTCGTAACAATTTTTTTTCTTTTTTTTTTCGCTTTTTAATTAATTTAAATTATTTTTTTCGAATATTAGAAATTCCTTTTTGTAAAAAGTAAAATAATCTAAATTCCATTTTAAAAGTTTTCAAAAGTTTTTGCTGTCAGTTAATACAATCAATTTTTAATAAAATGATTTTCCGGGATTTTCATAAAGTCAAATACTCATCTATGTTTATAGAAGAATGAAAGCAAATCTTATAATTAATATCCTATAAAAACAAAACTTTATTTTAGTGTTAAAAATGAAAAAAACAGCCAACCTCTTAGTATTTCACAAAAAAACAGGTTAATCTAGTTTAGGGAACAGCAAAAACATTCAATCAAATACAAGTATTTAAAAAAAATTTTTATCAAATAGAATAGAAATATCAGTTTAACCCATTTTTACCAAATTCAAATTAAAGTAAATTAAAAACTTTTTGAAATTATAATTTAAAATCTTTAAAATATACGCAAATTGCAAAGAAAATACTCACATATATTGCAATAAAATTACTCATTTCTGATCAATAAGTTAACATTTGGATGAGCATCCATTTGTAAAAACTTGCTTCTACACTTCCATATTGTAATGTTTAAAAAAAGTATAACTACCTAAGTATAGAGATGTTAAACTTGAAAAAAAAAAGTAAATTTTAAACTAACATAAAAAAGGTATTAACAATGTTTCTCAATTTAACCTACATTTTCTTAGTGTGAGGTGTGTTGAACCTGTACTGCTAGCTAATAAACTAAACAGTTAATTACTTGAGTACCCATAAGCTTGAACATCTTTTGTATAAGGTAATACTGATTGTTAAGTTATAATTTGCAATGACTTCAAATTTTTATTATTTTAGGCTGTTGTCAGTGAACAACAGAAAGTGCAAGAAATAATTAGACTTCAAGAAGCTTTGAAAAGCTTGATTAGTCATGCTGAAGAAGAAAAAAGGAAGGAGGTAATTTTTATTTTGTCTTTTACAAATGAAATGTGCAGCATGGTTGTCATGTGTAATAAAGTCTCATTAATATAAAGGTTGCTTTAAGATGTTTAGGATATGTGTTTCATGTTTCTCAGTTTGCTTATTGTTTTGGCTTATCATTCCTTTTATTTTTTGTTTGTTTACAGGTATCGCGCATTAAAGCTCAAAATGACAAAGAAATCCGTCATTTAATGGAAGATCTTCATTACCAAGAGAATGTAAACTTTTGTTTTTTTCTATTTGATTTTGAATTTTCTATGTGAACTTTACCCAAGGTTTAAAAAGTTTCAGTTAATAAATAGAAATTCAGGAAAGTGTCTATATTAAATAAACACAGGACATAATAAAAAATTTGATTTGTTTGTATACAATTGCTCACAAAAGGTGATTTTTTTTTTTGACAATTATTGTTGAGCTTTTTGAAAAAGAAACTAAAGTAAGACTTTAAAAAAGAAGTAAAAATGTTATATATTAAACATTAAAAACTATCCCCACCACCTAACTGTTTTAATATATCTTATACAAATATTTGTGGTTTGTGAAACAACTTTCCATCAGTTAAATCTTACCTCTTGCAAAATTCACTAAACTTGCTCGTTTTTGGTGTAACCAATTTCAACTCTAATAATCCTTCTTCAGATCTCAGTGTTGATGGGTACTATCTTTTGATTTTTAAAGACTTCAATAGTCACATGCTTGGCTTGGGGGTATACATACGCGTCAATTCACCTATTTGTCCTGAAATCCGGTTAGAATATTTTGACCATTCTTTTATGCGCTTCCGCTTAGTACTTTTTTACTCTATCACCTTTCTCTTTGTTCTTTAGTGTTTTCTTTCATACCAAAACTGTGCTCTTTTAGATGTAATTTCTTATTTAACTGACCATGGCCACTCTCTTTACCCCTCTGCCAATATTGTTGTTATTGGTGACTTGAAACTCGTCACACTGAATTACCTGACTCTAATGCCACTGACCCTGCGGGCACTAAAGCTTATAACTTCTGCATTTTTCAATCGGAATCTTACTCAGATTAACTTTGTGACCCGTTTTCCTAACAACTCTAATCATTTACCTTCACTTCTTGATTTGAGTTATGTCTCTGATCCTAGCTTGTGTTCAGTTTCTCCTTGTTCTCCGTTATTTGGTTCTGCCCATGCAAATATCTCTATAAATTTTTTATCTCATACTTTTTTATTTGACTCACCCTATTATTGCACTGCTAGCTACTACCCTAAAGCTGACAGGATTCTTTTTGTGATTTTCTTCATGATAATCCTTGGCCTGATGTCTTTTCTCTATCAGCTGAGAAATGCGCTTTTCATATAACTTCCTGGATTCAGGCAAGAAGCTTTATTCCTTTTCTTCGGTAAAAAGTCAAACCTCATTCTACTCCATGGTTTTCACTAGGGATTGCAAATTCCTGGATTTTTTGCTATCCCGAGATAGTGGAAATCATTCATGATGTTCTTGGAATCCCGGAAAAATCACAGGAATGTACATTTCAATAAAGTCAAAACAAATGAATATTTTTTACTTTATTCTTAAAACTATTTTTGTGATTTAAAGTGATGTTTTAGAAAAACCAGTGCATCCAGATGACTGTCTGATAATCTAGTTCTAAACTCTAAACTTTGTAAAAAATAAACCTGTTGAATTAAACACTCTTTCAGATTCAACGCTGGGTGCTCTAATAGTTAAAAGTGCATTATAAAGTGTATCTAAATTGATATTTTGTTAGTTGCTTCAAACAAATTGAATTCTTGACGTATAGTTTACTGCAGTTAACTACAAAGTTGTTGTTTTTTTCACAAACTGACTTTACTATTAAGCTTATTTTAAAAAGTCTCTCAGTTAATTCAACAGCTGTATTTATTATCTCTATTTTAGATGGTATGCAAAATAAGTTATTATACATATCACTTTTTAAAGACTGTGGATTATCTACTGTGGATTATCTACTGTGGATTCAACTAGAGCATTCTTAAGATTATCAAGTTCTGTAACAATAAATTTTAATGTGTCGTCAACTGTTAATAATGTTGCTTCCCTTCTACAAATCGTTTCAAACCCAAAAACAATAAGCTTAAATCTATAAGTATCAAAAAAAATTCTGGGATCCCGGAAAAAATTTCCCAGGATTTCAGATTTTTGGTTTATTATTATTCCTGAGAATTTCAAGGCAACAGGTTTCCAGTAAATGTGTAGCTGCAAAGTTTGGCATGCTGGTCTTCTGTATATGGGAAAGTTTTTGAGATTATCAAATCATTTCTTTCTAACCACTTTATTATAGTTGATTGAAGGTCATCATTCTTCTCCATTTCCAGTAACTTCTGGGGTACCTCAAGGCTCTATCCTTGGTCCTGTTTTGTTTTTTATCTACATTAATGATCTTCCTGACAACCTTACATCTAAAGTAGCTCTTTTTGTTGATGACTCAACTTTATACTCCTGTCTTGACAAAAAGTCTTCTCTCTTTGATCGCTTAGAACAGGCAGCTGAACTTGAATCAGATATCACTTCTGTAACAGATTGGGGCTTACAGTAGCTTATAAATTTTAACTTCAACAAAACTCAGTTATTTACTGCAAGTAACTATTGCAATACTGTTGACATTCCTATATTAATGAAGTTAGCATCTGCTAAGGTTACTTCTCTTTATTATGCTCGACATTTTCTCTCTACTGATTCTTTACCTATACAATTCTCTTATTCATCCCTGTGTGAAATACTGTTGTTATATTTGGGCTAATTCTTCTAATGGTGTTCTTTCTCTTCTTGACAAGGTCCAAAAATCCATTGTAAACATAGTTGAACCCACTCTAAATGCTAAGCTTGAGCCTCTTTCCCATTATAATAAAGTTGCATCTTATTCTTAATAAAGTTGCATTTTTTTGTGGACAAAAATTGTAAAGTGATGTATAAGTGAATGAGAAATGAAAGTTTCAAACCGAAATATAGTTGCCACATGCTGAAATATCTTGTTTCAGTTTTTTTCTAAGCAATTTGTGATAATTATTTCAGTATGTTGATCATGTTCATTTTCTGTTTTGTTGCTACTCATTGGAGCTTTATTATCAGATTATTTTCTCTTTTTCCTATGTCTATGTCACTTTTATTTCATTACATATTTTATATTCAATCAAATGCAGGGCTTTGTTTTAAAAAATTTGCAATATAATTAATCAGTGCCATTGAGAGGATATCTTTCATGCAGTTCACAAATCATCACTTTTTACAAATATTCTAGTTGGCTTGTGTTTTTGATGTTGATGGAAAGTAGAACATGATGCAAGGTGTATAGTTAAGACAATATATCTCTAATTGTTGGTCTTTTATCAGCTGATATGGTTACTGAAACAGTGTGAGTTTTTTTAAGAAATGCAATGTGTTCTAATGTTTCATCAAAAAATTCTTGAGCTCATTCAGTATCTAAAAGTTCAAAACACCAAGCTTGCAAACTAACTTTGTTCAAATCTTTAATTGCTTTGAATCATTTAACCCATATTTTTGTTATTATGCAACATTCAATTGTTGTTGTGGTAACACCTTTTTTTCGTATATTAAGTACCTATATGGTTTTTAAAAGATTTTCATTCCAAGATGCTTCATGTTTGGTTTTGTTGGTGATTGTTGAAGTATTGCAACAGGTTATTTTGTAAGATTTAAAACAAGTTTTACATTTGGCTTCAAGCTTATTTGGCATTTCAAAGAATTTTTAATATTACTTTTTTTTTGGTATCTTTAAACTAAATAAAATATAAATTGCTTATAAAACAACCAAACCGTATTATAAACATAGATAAATGTATATAAAGTTTTAATTTTGGCATAAGCTAAAATAAAATTAAGTTCAGGATGAATTTGATTTAACAGTTTTTATAATTTCCAATAATGTTTTTTCTTTTTTCTTTTTCTTTTTTTTTTTCAACACTTCCAACAAGGCTGCAAGCAACCACTATTAAAATTAAAGGAAGAGAAAAGATGTTTATAGAAGTTTATAGAGCAAGATAACAATTAACAGACGACTTAAAAAATTGCAAATAATATTAATCAGGAAAACAAGATGAAGAAAGCAAATTCCAAAGGACTGATGTCGAGGGAAAAAAACTAAGATAAAAACTGAGAAAAAAGCTAGACAAATAAGAATTTTTGGAGCATCTAGAAACAGTCACAGTAAAAAGATAAGACTTGATTGAATTACGAGTAACACAAGAATGAATTTTAGTAGATGGCACAAGAGACACTAGCTCTTTAGAGCAGTGCCCATTATAGTATTTATAGAAAAGAGAAAGAGAAGCAACATTATGATGTGATAATGGTTGGAGGTTGGCTGCAAGTGCAGATCCAACCATGTTTACAATGCGTTTTTGCACCTTGTCTAAAAGAGATTTTTAGCAATTTAGGTAGCAAGTACGAATGTATAAAGAAAAAAAAAATTGTTTTTAAACATGTATTTATAGAAATAAAACAAAAATAGAGACACTAGTTTTTTTGATAACATAAAATAGGTATATTTTGGGAGCTTTAAAATTGGTTTAAATTATTAATTATATCTGCTTTATTATATATATTATATTAATTATATCTGCAGTTAATTTTTTTTTTGAATAATATATGGATGTTAATATTTAATAAAATCATATCGATCAAGGATCTCAGCTCTCCTGAGACCGCCAGGGTAAATTTTGGTTTGCTCTAATTTTTTTTATTTAATTATTAATATTGGGTTTAGGTAAGTGTTTTAAAATAATTTTTAAAATCTAAACTAACTTTTAAACATATAAATTTTAGATTTAATTAAAATGTCTAAAATAAATTGCATCATTTTATGATTACATCATCTATTCAAGTTATTGCAATACAAAATGTTGCAATACAGATAAAAATAGTTATTAATATGGTTAAAAGCGATCATATAAGACTTATTTTATTTGTCAAAATGGCAGGCGAAAAGTGTCTAATTAGTGCATGTTATTTTATTTTCTTTGGAAAAGGATTGCATAAACTTATTATAGTAACTCCCACAGTACAACTTCATATTCAAAAATTATTTCGAAGAAAATATGATTTAGAAAAACAGTGTTGTTCAAAAACATTTGTAATTTTTGCAAAGCAAATTTACAGTGGTTAAACAAAATTATTGAACAGTTGTGAAACAAAATTATTGAACAGTGGTGAAACAAAATTATTGAACAGTGGTGAAACAAAATTATTGA